CAGATTCAGCATGGGAGTATTTGAGTTTCACACAGGCAAGGCTGGGGAGAGTGAGGCCATCCAGCAGGGGGGCTCTGGAAGGGGAAGAAGTGAGAAATGATGAAGGAATGACCTGGAGCACTGACAGTGGAAAGAGATAGAAAGATATTTGTGCCTGATGGGATGGAGATTGTGACAGAGGGAACTTTAACAGTTGAAGCCATCAGAAAAGATAAGCTTTTATATCTCAAGAACCATAAAAATGTGCATGCCCTTTGACTTAATTATGTCTCACTGGGATTTTAGGCTAAGGAAATAAATCCCCCAAAGGCAAAATTTCTTTCCACAGACAAGTCCATTGTAGTACTACTTATAACAGTGAAAGTTTGGGAACAACCGAAATGTTCGTAAGATGGTATAATTAAGTAAATTATTGTGCAATAAGAGTAAAATGACGTTATAAGATTAAAGAAAGAATTGAAGAATATTTTTAAAAGACCTGAATAAACACAGAAACATATTTCCTGGGTGGAAGAATTAACGCTTCAATGCTATAATTTTTTTTAATAAATAAACACAATGTAATGCCAAAGAAATTTTTTTAATTTAAATAAATTAAATAAAATAATTTGAACAAATTGATTCTAAAATTTTATGAAAAAAAAATCACATTTATCAAGAAAATTTTAAAAGGAAAGACTTGCACTAATAGGTATTATAATATACAATTTTTACAATACAGTTATCAAAATTGTGCATTATTGGCATACAAACAAAACATGGTAGTGCCCAGAATAAATATAAATATATATGTAAATGTAATGTATGACATTGACATTAGAAATCACTGGAGAAATCATGGATTTTTCAATAAAGGGTAATGGGATAATTTACTATGCATTCAGAAGAAAATTAATATATATAACATTTACAAGTAAAAATTACATTTAATGTGTGGAATTTACATATAGCATTTAATATAGTAATATGTTAATTAATATATTGCTTGGTCACATTTCAATTTAAATATACTATAATTGAATATTAATTATAAAGTTAATATATGTGATATTTATATTTATAGTATTTATAAATATAATATAAAATGTGATAAATACAATGTTTATAATATTTTTTAAAATTCCTAGGATAATTAAAAATCTATTGTTAAAAAATTAACAGTATTAGAAGCAAAGAAGCAATAGAGAAAACCCAGAGCCTTATATTCTGGAATATAATAGACAGATTTGACAAGATGAAAACTCAAAACTTATGTGCAGTGAAATGGTCCATAAACAAAATCAAGGGAAATAGGACAGAGAAATGTTTACAATACATTTCACTAGGTGTTAATATGTGTAATAGTGATAGAGACCTCAAAGATTAATTTTTAAAAAGACAAACATACTAGGCATAGGATTGAACAGCCATAGCATAAAAAAAGAATTCAAATAATAAACATATGGACTCAACCTCCCAAGAAGTCAGGAGACTGTGAATTAGAACAATAAGACACCATATTTTGCTTACTAGACTGGCAAAAATCAGATTGATAAAACCCAGTGGCGGCAAGAATGTGAGAAAACATCCTCGGTAGGAGTATATATTAGTAAGAATGTATATTGCTAAATATTTGGGGAATATTTACCTACCTTATGATTCAGTAATCTCACTTCTAGGATTTCCTTCTATAACAATTTTGGAGAGCAACTTGGCAGTGATCTATCAAAAGTTCAGTTCTCATTTCCCTCTGACCCAACAATGCCATTTCTAAATGTCTATCCTAAAGTACATGCAAAGATAATCATGGCAGCAGTTCTTATAATAAAAAGCTGAAATTACCAAAGATCTAACAATGGAAGGATGGTAGAATAAATTACAAACTAGACAGCCATTAAAAAGAATGAGTTAAGGGCGCCTGGGTGGCTCAGTTGGTTAAGCGACTGCCTTCGGCTCTGGTCATGATCCTGGAGTCCCTGGATCGAGTCCCGAATCGGGCTCCCTGCTCGGCAGGGAGTCTGCTTCTCCCTCTGACCCTCCCGACCCTCCCCCCTCTCAAGTGCTCTCTCTCTCTCAAATAAATAAATAAAAAATCTTTAAAAAAAAAAAAAGAATGAGTTAAGTCTGTAGCTAGTAACCTAGAATATATAATTCCACTAAACTTAAAAAAGATAAGTCACAGAAATTGTTACATTTTTAGTTTAAAAAATATTTGTATGTGCATATGGAGACATGACGATATACATGTATGAAAAAGATAGGTATGCCCCCAATCTGTTCACCACGGTCACCCACAGACATGAGATCAGAGGAAAGGAGGAGGGTGTGTGATTTGGGAAGGTTATATCTGACTTTACAGATAAAGATTTTTTTCAACAGTGCTGTGATGTGAGTGTTTTTTTTCACTCTTGGTATTTTTAGCATTTTTCTTTTTCTTCTTTTTTTTTTTTAATTTTTGAGAAAGGAATATAGTCCTCAAAGAAGGAAGATGAAAAACCAAAGGCAAAACTGTGCCCAGGCACGAAGGAGGAGAAAGAAGAGAGACATGGCAAAAGGCAACCCAGAGAAGTCACAGACAGAAGGGGTCTGGGGAGGGCAGGGGCTGAGAACCAAGGAATGACAGCGTCTGGAGGAGGAATGGAGGGAGGCAGGGCACTGCAGAGAGGCCAGGATAATGCCACCCAGAGAGCAGATGATGAGTAGCAGGGTTGCAAGCCCGGGTGCAAATGGGGGGAGGGGTGTTCCACTCTGCCTGTGCATCTCTGGAGAAACAGAGAATTAGGACCTCAGCCTAAACCTCCTGAATTAGAAGCTCTTCAAGTGACACCCAGACACGCACAGTAGCTTTGAAACACTCCTCAGATGATGGTAGTGGTGTGCAGTCAAGGTTGAGAAATCGCCAATTAAAGGCATAGGAAAGTGTAGTGAGTCAGGGAAGCTGAGGAGTGTAGTTCATTCTTTCCCACTAAGTTTGACAGGTGCAGAAAGGAGTGAATTAAATTAATAAAAGTTATTAGAACATGGTAAAGCACCAAAAGGGTCACCAGGGTCAAGGAACATATGAGCACGTTGTAGGCTAAGATGAAGAAGCCCATGGGCAGAAGAGATGAAATATTCGAGGAAGGTGATAAAAAAAGAGGAAGGGGGGAAAAGGATTTGTTTCTAGACTTTCTGTTATTTGTCAGACATTTTAGATATGCTATCACCATTATTATTTCTTTTACTGGTGATTAATAACCACCATTATTATTATTTTTTGAGGCATATATTACAGCATCCTCTTTACAGTGAGGCAACTGAAGTTTAGGAAAGCCGTATGAATAGCAAGGACTCAAACCCACGCCCAAAGCATTCGGTCACGGAGCAGGGTCTTGGAGGCACGGTGACTGCTGGTGGTTTAGGGGTAGTAGCCTCAGTGCCCCACGCCACAGAGCAGACAACCAAACTGTCACCCACCAGAAGCCATGAGCACAGGCGAGCTGAGCAGCCCGCAGCTGACCGGGAGCCACAAGGAGGAAAAGCGAGGTCCCCCCCTTCCAAGAGCGGACAGTCCGGACTTTACCTAGAGTGCTATCTTTTTCACCAGCTATTAAAACTGTCTGACTAGAACAACTCCAAGAAAACGGAGTAATCCTTTGCCTTGCAAAAGTCATAGAGAAATATTCTGTCATTGAAGATCTCATGTCCCCCAGCAGTTCGGGAAATAAATAGGAGTTGCATGCATTTGTGGCCCCCACAGGGGAGGCAAACGTACCTGGAGGATCACAGGAAGCAGGTGAAGACTGTCCATGAAAGATGTATCTCCCCCAGGACTAAGAGAACCAGATGGAGTCTCTGGCCATGTTACTGACCAGGAAGCATCAGGTGATGAAGCTGGGCTTCCACTCCAAAAGGATCACCAAAGCATCCTGAGATTTTCAATGTATTCCTGAGGCCTAGCAAGTGGCTGCCAATAAATATTATTTGCCAGTTATTCCAGGGTGACAGTAAAAGTGGCCTCAAAGGGGGAAAGCCCAGTGTTCCAGTAACTTTTATTTTGGAAACTCGAGAGGCTTTGTTTAGAGTATCTCCTTGATAGCCCTTCCGGGTTATGAAACAATCAGCTGCGGTATTAATCAATGGCATCTAACAGACACTAGCAACTTAGTAATTGATGGATATCTATTTAATTCAGGCAGTTACTATTTGTTTCAGTACTTGTTTTGCAAGAGAAAAGCGGTTGTGCATGGTTTTGTTATTACCAAAAAAAAAAAAAAAACCCTGTTAGAAAAAATAAATTCTACATTTGCGGAAAATAAGAAGAGGGTGGCCCTACCATTGTTTCTGTTATACTCGTGTGGTGGAAAAGAAACACAGCACCCCGGAAATTTGGGCTTTGGGGTATCAAAAAAGAAAGCAAAACCCTGCTTAGGTCACTGTTTATTTTCTTTTGCCCCTTTTATTCTGACCCCTCCTTCTTGTCAGAGAAGGGGAGATTCAACTCCCTGGAGCCCCCCCCCCCCCCCCCCCCGCTCCGGTCAGATATTGTCAAGCTGCTGTTGTTCAGAGATAAGGAAAGAAATTTGACACGGAGGTGCTCCCCATCTTGATTGCCGGGAGGAAGGAATACCATCTTCGAGGTCATTCGATCTATTAAGCCATCTTTATGATTGTTTTGCCTCTGTAACTTCTGGGGCAGTCTCGGTGGAAGATGTGTGGCCCTGATCATGGGAAACCAATCTGGGATAATCAGTTATTTCTTCCCCACGTCTCTGCTGTGTTCTGGCTCCCCCGAGCACCTCCCTCACCTTGTAAACCTGGCAGGCTCTGGACATTTTGCATGCTGAAGAAAATCACTGTTTTGCCTCCAGCAAGGAACGTAAATGTTGCAAGACTGACTCCTCCTCTAATGAAGAAAGAGTGAACAAGTGCACCGAGTTGAGCTTCTTGTCCCAGAGCCACCGGGCTGGGGACCGTGGCGCCCAGGCTGAGATCCTGAGCCGCGCGTCTTCTGGGCTTCCCCCACCCAGCCCCCGCCCCCGCCCCCGCCGCCTTTCCGTCTTACAGGATCCTCTCCCTCTATCTGGATTTTACCGGCTGTTCGCGAAACAGCTTTACACACAATGGATCTCCCCGTCCTTTTGCAGGAAGTGCTCACGGACTGATGTGGCTGACTTTGCTCCCAGGCAAAAGTGAGTAGCCACTGCCGGGCTGAGCCTGTGGCGGACGCGGGGGCTGCGGGTTCGAGGCGGGAGAGGCGCGAGGGCAGCGCGCGCGCGGCGCGGTGGCTGCGGGTTCGAGGCCCCGGTGCGGCGCGGGCTGCGGCTCCAGGAAAGCGGCAGAACCCAGGCGCCGGCGGCAGAGGCGCTGCCCGGCAGCGGCCGCAGGTGCGAAAGCCGGGGCTCCGACCGCAGTCAGCATTGCTGGCCCCTCGGAGAGAAACTAAAAATGCCCCCTCCCCCTCACAACAGCACACCTTGGTCTTTTTTAAAGGCATCTTCGGATGCGCCCTGGAGAGTGAGTTTCGGCGTGACCGTGGGGTTCTCGCAATGTAAATTATTTACGTCAAACTGAAAAGAAAAAATCGCGGGAAGGGGCTCGGGAAGGTGAGGTGATGCCTGCAGGCTCGCGGGGCCTCCCGGCGGCGGCGGCGGCGGCGGCGGCGGCGCAGACTCTCGGGCAGCGGGTGGGGAAAGTTCAGGGTCACCCGTGCTGGCCCGAAAGGCGGGGCTCCCCCGCGAAGGCAGTGGGCGCCGCCGGGGCAGGTCCGAGGCTCCAGCCGGAACCGTAGCCCCGAGCGGGGCGGGACGGTGGGGGGAGCTCCCATCCCGGGAGGCAGCGGCGAGCAGAGCCCGCCGTCGGGGAGCGGCGGACTCGGGAGGCGGACGGTCACGCGCGGGTAACTGGGGAGCCGGGCGCCGTGCGGGGGGACAGCGGGGCGGGGGTGCCAGTCCTTCCAGCAGGAAAATATTCTTGTAGTGACCTCTACCTGTACCCTGGGGAAGCAGCCCACGGTGCGCTCATAAGCAACTTAGGGTTTTCTGTGATGGGACTTGAAAACGGTTGCAAAATAGGTATTATTAATCTGGAGAGATTCGTTTGCATTCATTCATCAAGTTGGCTGGTAAAGAGTCTCCTGGTCTCTGCTTCTTGGTTAGTGGAGTGCTTCTATTCCTAGCCCAGCCTCTGGCTGTGCAAACTCAGGCAAGGCAATCATCCTCTCTGGGCCTCAGTTTTCTTTGCAACATTTAGGGGAATTAATCATTCCATAGATAGATAGATAGATAGACAGATAGAGGCTATATATATATATATATACCATTAAACATAATATGTGTATATGCATAGTATATTGTATATATAATTATATATATGGGGTAAATATGCTGAATATTGTAAGGAAGAAGCAGATGAAATTTTTAATTTTAATGGTTCTTAGAAACTGGACATCACGGGTCCTTTTGAGAATTAGCTATGAGTCTTCTCCCAAGGAGTTCTTATGTAATGTACATAAAGTTTTTCAAGCAATCCCTCAGAGTTTGTGGACACTCCTGAAGACCCTGCCTGAACCCCAGGTAAACATTCTTTTCCTTCTTTTTGAGGACCTTTGGTATCAAGACCACCCAGCTGAGCTGGCTATGGAAGTAATCTATAGCCCTCCGGTGGGGTCTGGAGTCAGCCATGCTACTGAAAGAGAAAGCACTCCCACCATGAGTAAGCTCCTGGGATACTGTTTCCCAAAGGCTTCACCAATCTCTGCCTCCTGGGGAACCTTCCTCACAAACTCTTTTCGTGACTTTCCAAAGGTGAGGTCCTCACCCCTAGAGTTTTCAGTCCTATACACAGCCACCTCTAGCAAGTCACTGTCTCAAAGATAGCTCTTCAGGTCACCTAGCTGGATGTCAAACAGCGAAGCCAAAGCTTTGTTTTGAAACAAAGTGCTGTTTGCTCTCTGTGCATAGTAGGAATAGTAATAGTGTTCTTTTGGACCAATGCACTTTTCTTTTAAAGTAGTAAGGACTCCTATTGGTGCACCTGGGTGGCTCAATTGGTTAAGGGTCCGACTCTTGATTTTGTCAGGCTGCGTGCTGGGCGTGCAGCCTGCTTAAGATTCTCTCCCTCCCCCTCTGTCCCTCCCCACCCAAAAGAAAAAAATAATAAATAAATTTTTAAAAAGTACTAAGGACTCCTGTCTGATGGGACCTGAGTCTTCCATTGGTAATGCCAACAGGGTACAGCAGAGGACACATGGAGCTTTGGAATCCACAGACTGGGCTTCAGATCTTGGCTCCCACACTTGGACAAGTCACTCAACTACTCTAAGCCTCATGTTCCCTGTTTGTAAAATGGGGAACAATACCGCCTTTCCGGCATAGTTGCTAGGAAAATGAGAAATGGAAATGCCTGGTTTATAGTCAGTAGTCAACTAGTATTATTAATATTGACATGAGGTTATCAGTAAGTGTTAGTTTCATGCTTTTCTAGAGCAGCTTACTATTCTGTAGGGCTTATGTCAGCAAAAGAATGAGTAAAGTCAATTCTACTCCAATTATTCTCAGAGATGAGGGGTGTGTTCAGAATACAGAGTTGGCTTTACTGCTTCACCTTTGTCAAGCAGAGCACTCTGTGTGGCCAGTAAATAAAATGTGTCCAGACTGACATGGATTCTCGACCCTTCCTCCCAATTCTCTTTTGGCCCATAATCTCGAACATGAAATAGCTAGCTCTGCTTGTAGTGACAAACACCTCTGCATGGACACTGGAGAGGTCTCATGGTTGCGTCCATCTCCAGATACCCTAGAAACTGTCTCTGTAAAGAGAATTGTCTCCACTGTCATCGTTCGAAGGGTAGCACAGATACGGCCAATTCAGCTTATCTTGTCTCTCCGCTTCTCTCTGTCTCCCTCTTTGGTAATGGCTCCTCAGTTGCGAGAAGCTGGGTGACGCTGAGATGTGGGAAAGAAATGAGAATCCTAAAAGGAAATTTGATACCCTCAAAGTAGTCATTCCAAAGATGGATCAGTACTCTGGCAAGGCAATCGTGCATGCAAAGATGACAATACCGATCGTACTTTTCACTGAGCCTTCAAGATGGACTAAGCAGTTTGCTACGTGACCTCAGTTAATTTTCTCATAGCAACGCTGCAGGGTATGAATTATCAATTAAAGCTTTACAGATACATTGAGACTTAAAAAATTTTACATAACTTGTCCACTCTGCATAGCTGCTAAAAGGCAGAAGAACCAGGATACAGGCCCAGGTCTGTCTGACTTTGACGCTCACTCCTTTCACACTGCCTAGTGCCGCCAAGCTCTCTGGCGTCAGAAGGCTGTGTCATGCCAGTTGGGTCCCAACCCAGTTCTTCTTCTTCAGAGCATTTAGAGCAGGAATAACCAAATCATCTACATGATTTAAGTGGTGTGAACATACACTTTGCATGTGATACATATTAACAGTCAGCAGCAATGAAATGGCCTATGAGGAATGATGTTCCCAAACCTTTCCAGATCCAGCTGGGAGAGTCGAGTTAGGCAACACCAGGCCTTGGCAGGCAGGGCTGGGTCTGAGCCACTAACTTCCTGAGTGACTCTTTTAGGTTGAAAAGAGCTCTGAAACGTTCACTCTCTACTACTTTGAGAATCAGGACACCATTTACAGTTACCTCCCCTGTGTAAAACATTTATTCATTCATTTATTCATTTAACAAACACTTGCTGATCTCTGAATAAGGCAGACAAGGTCCTGGCTCTTGTGGAATTTCTATGATAGAGAGAGTGACAGATAGGAGGCAGGTGAACAAATGCAGAAATAAGATAATTTCAGGTACTGAGAAATGCTATGAAGAAAGTAAAGAGAGGCTGGGGGCTCAAGAGTAAGAGGGCTTGCAAGCAACTTGAAATAGGGCAGGCGAGAAGATGTCCACAAAGAGGTCACTCTTGAACTTAAACCTGCATAAAAAGAGGGAGCCAGCCTGATGAAGGTCTGGGGAAACAGATGCCTTAGCAGAAAAACCTCCAGGGAAAGATCTGGATGTGGAATGAAGGAAGCAGTAGAGCCTCAAATATAATGAGATGGCGCCTTGGAAATCAATTTGAGTTTTATGTAGGGGAAATTCTTGATTGACTGCCTATCGTACCCTTCTAGGCTGTGCTGTGGACTTACCTCCTATCTTATTTAACCTCCCCCACCATCTGGCGAGGCAGCTATTTCTGTCTTGATTTGACAGTGGAGGAAACCAAGATTCATAGAAGGTAAGCAGCTAGCGCAAGGTCACAAAGCTGGTCTTCGAACCCTGTAGTCTGTTTTGCGCCAAAGCCTAAAACTTTTTGCTAATACAGCATGTGGACTTTGAGATAATCTCTTTCAGAAGATCAAAAGGAGCTAACAGAAGGAACATGTCAAAAGTATATTAGGTGACTAAATGCTGACAGGCGATTTCTATCTCATGTCCCAAATTCCAGTGAGTGTGTCTAAACTTGCTCAGTGCCACACATTAGCACTAGCCACATGTGATGACTGGGAACTTAAAATGCAATTAGTCCAAGTTGAGATGTGCTGTAAGTGTAAAAATATCCCCTAGATTTCAAAACCTAGAACCAAAAAAAATCCCCACCTCATTAATTTTTATACTGATCAGATGTTAGAATGGTAATACTTTGGATGCATTGGTTTAGATGAAATATACTATTAAAATTAATTTCATCTGTTTCCTTTTAATTTTTTTAATGCGATTAATAGGAAAGTTTAAATTGCATATATGACTTGCATTATATTTGCACTTAACAAAACTGGTATAGACTAATGAGTTGACAAATATATGACAGGAAACTTTTCTCCCTTCTTCCTAACATAATTTCTTCTCTATTCTTGGCTCAGACTTCTGAAATCTTACCCATCAGGGAAATTCAAGAAGCTTTCTAACATCCTAAGACCAAAGAGTCATTTTAAATCTAAAACAGCCTGAACAATACGCAGTCCCAGTTTCCAGAAGGACTGCTCCACGAATATCACAGAAGGCCATTTTGGTTTCTTTTGTCCGCTAGCTTGAATAGCACATCACCAAAGTTAAGATATGATTTGTTCCTGCAATCTCATGTATGCCAAAGGGAGAGCAGTCTGATTCTGAAGTTGTTAGAGGAAGCCTCTGACCTGGGATATTGGAGGCATGGATTCTGCTTTGTCTACTGGTTT